GGGGGCATCTGATTATAGTATGTGGTTAAAACAAAAAGAAAGAACCCCCTAAAACAAACAAACAAACAAACAAACAAACAAAAAATAACAAACCCCCAACCTAAAAAAAATACGCTACCTATACCCATGTTCCCCACTGCATTCTAAAGTGCTTGAACTGTGATAACTGCACCTTTTTTTTGCTTGCTATAAACGCGAAAAGGCTAAATTGAAATGGAAAGTGTTGTAAAAAAAAAGAGAAGACCCCCCCCCAAATCGAAAGGTTTAACCGTACTACTGCAAGGCTTCCTGTCTTTACCCTCGCACTTGCTTTCTTTTCAACCAACTAATTCCCATATTTTCCCAGGGGGATAATTAGACTTGTATCGTTATGAACTTCCTAAACCAATGTTATTTTATAACTTAATACTTGCTGTTTTTTACTTTCCATACGACTGACACCTTTTTTTTTCACCCCCAGACTACTAGTTAATATCGATTCGACCAAATGAGTTTTTATCTCTTGAAATATTCGTACTTTTTTAATGCATGCGATAATATCTTAATCGCCCAACATCAAATACATAGCCGCCTGCAACACTTCTTTCCCTCCCTCCCCCCTCTCTCTTTCGCTCACTCTCACTTCCACTCTCTTTTCTCTTCCTGTCTGCCCCCTCTCTGTCCCTCACCCCCTCACGTCTGCCTGCCCCCCTTTATTTCTTTTCACTCCTCCTTTCTTTCTTTCTTTCAGTCTTTTTTCTTTCTTTCTTTCTTTCTTTTTTCAGTCTTTCTTTCAGTCTTTCTTTCTTTTTTCTTTCTTGCTTGTATAAGTATTTCCTTATTCTTTTTCTCTTTCTTTCCTTCTTTCTTCTGTCGTTTCCCCTTTCCTTTTTATTTCTCCCTTTCGTTTTTTTTCTCCTTCGCCTTTAATTTTTAATCCGTTTCTGTAGGAGGGTAAAATGACCCTCCCCTACTCTCGCCCAGGACCACCCCCATCAATTATTAGTCCGGTTAAAGCTCCAAAGGCAGGAGTCGTGGTGGTAACGGGCTATAAAGTTCTGATCATTTCGTCCCCACCCGCCGGTCCAGCACTGTGCGTGTGAGCGAGTGCACCATCACGCCCCTGGGCGATATAGTGAGTGTGGGAGTTGCGCGATTTTTCTCTTCGGACAGTCGCGAGTCGCTCTCGAAGGATATATATCCATTGCGGCAGAATCAGCGGGCGTCCAGGATGCGGGGTGAGATAACCATTGCATAAAAATGTCCCACTTTAACGCAACTTATCTAACTAGACGAATTTGAAATTAATTATGCGCAAGAATGAAATTGCTTGTTTTGAAAAGCCATTAGACAAAACAATGTGTTCTAAGAGTTTAAAAATATGACGTTACAAGGTACATATCCCCCTGTCTTTGTGTCATTAGACACTCAAAATTTTTATTCCCTGACACCAATGCGTAGTTCACTGCAACGTACTCACTCGTACACAACGTTCGTGGATAAGATAACTTAGCGCAACGATTTTTCTGTGACGAGTTTTTATATCAAAGGCTAAAGACGGTATTCTCACTCTGTGCGTGCGCTTACTCATGTTGATAGGCCAGTCAGTCAAAATATGCAATTTTGATAGGCATTCTATATACTTGTTATACTATTTTTTTAAAATTGCCTTCTGGTACAACAATTGACTTTGCAATAATTTTCATGTGTTGATTCCAATGCGATTACTAAATCGATGCCACATATTTTCCTCCTTCGTCTCCGAAAATTTCTGAGCCGTCGGTTCTTGCTGATAAACAAAACCTGCTCCCAGGTTGCATTCAGGGTACCCTGTTGCATAAATATTTCTTTTAAAGAAAAGGAGATTGTTTAGAGTTGATTGTGCCAGTCTTAAATAAACATTGGTTTAAAATGCTAACCACGTGACAAATGATGAAAACATGAACATCACAAGTAAAAACATTTGCTCATTGAATTTTCTTTTAAATCCAGACTCTCTCAAAGTAGACCCCGCTAAAGCTCTTTCACAATCAGGAGCTTATTCGCTTTGTGTTTCAGTCCTGTAGTTCATATCAGTTTTTGGAACTATTTTATTCAGAGCATTGCTGGTTGTCAGAGGTTTGTTTCTGATTCTTCTTTGGCATCATTAGCAATTTTAGCTCTGCCGGTTTTGTTTGTTTGTTTGTTTGTTCATAATTAACATGGCGCAGTTGATGCATCATTGCCTTATCATGTGCGGATGCTTTCAGTAAAATTAATGTCATTTTACTGGTTTGATCTTTTACTTGAAACAGGCAGGAGTAAAGACAACTGGGACATTAATTTGATCACTGCAGTAAATAGCAGGTTTCATTTCGTGTTTTTGATCTTAAACAACACAAGAAGATAGACTCCGAAAGAGACTCCATGGAGTAACTTCCATGAATATAGATGCGGGCAACCGACTTGAAATCACGGGGCTGTCACAGGAGCCAAACATGGTAATGCCCCTGACAAAGGAGGGGAAATGTCCACTTTCTCAGAAAGATTACTGTATTGCATGTCCGACGATGAAGTCGCGGCAATGCTCAAAACCAGTGCACGCGACACATTTCACTGCATTAACTCAGATATTAAAATAGGGCACATAGCGCAGAGCGGTAAACCCGAGATATCTACGGGCCGCCATAATATTGCGTGAGAACGCGCACTGCGGAAATTGTAAAGACAAATGTAGTCATTGTGTATGCTACTAGATCTAATAGACAACAGCAACCATTTAATGTAAACGCCGTGATACATCCGGAGGAAGGCAGAACCAATTTAGTCATGTCATTCGTGGGGCTTGCTTAAACGTAAAGGGATCTGTGGCACAATTAATGTTCAACCTGTCCTACGAGAAACACACTCGGACTTGTCGGTAATGTTTGCCAAGGTGATCTGATAGCGTAAGTAACTTGTCGCGTGA